AGAGAAGCTGTGGGGTGAATCATTGCAGCCTTCCAGGACCTAAAGGGAGCCTACAGACAGGAGGGGAGTCAACTCCTGGAAAGGGGAGATAACAGCAGGACAAGGGGAGATGGTTGGAAGTTGAGGGAGGGCAGATTTCAGTTGGATGTGAGGGGGAAGTTGTTTGCTGTGAGAGTGGTGAGGTGCTGGAACAGCTGCCCAGAGAGGCTGTGGATGCCCCGTCCATCCCTGGAGGTGTTCAAGGCCAGGTTGGATGGGGCCCTGGGCAGCCTGGGCTGCTCTGAAATGTGGAGGTTGGTGGCCCTGCGTGCAATGAGGGGTTGGAGCTTCGCGATCCTTGAGGCCCTTCCAGCCCAGGCCGTTCTGAGCTCTCCAAGCCCGCACAGCCCCATGGCAAAGGGAGGCGGTCCGGACGCGGATCGCGCAGAGCCCCGCGCTGCTCCCACCCGCTGCACGTGGACGGCGGCGGCCGAGCTGCGCATCGAGGTGGAGGTTTGGAGCCCGGCCCGCTCCGCTCCCAGGCAGCAGCTGAACCACCCCGGGCCGCCGCCGCCTCCAAAAATAGCCGTCCCGGAGCATTCCTCGCAGGCACAAACCTGCCTGTGGCCGCGGGGCCGCGCAGATCACTTTCCCAGCCGGCCCCCGGAGCGCTCGGAACGGAGCCGGACCGGCCGTCGGACCGACCTCACCTCCCCCCCCCTCGGGAGCCGCGGCGATGCGTGGCGGCTGCGGGCAGCGCTCCGTGCGGGAGCGGCTCTGCCGGTTCCGGCGTCCCCTCGGCGGCGCCCGCAGCCGCTCCGCCCCCCGCTGACCCCGCGGCCGCCGCTCCCCACGCAACGGCCGCTGCCCGGACGGTTCTCTCATTGCGGGGCTCCGGCCGGGACCCGCTCTGACCCCGCCGCCCCTCCGGGTCCCACCGGCACCGGGCCGGCCTCGGACCGCCCTACGGCCCACGGACCGCCCAGATCTCGGACACCCCCCCCCAGAACCCGAGAGGCCCCGAATCCCAGCCCGAGGCCCGGGGATCTCCCGAGGCGCTGCCCGCCCCGCGTTCGCTCGGCCGAGGCCGCTCCCGACCCCCCCCCGGCGCCCCGGCCCGGCCGTACCTGCGATGGCCGTCTCGTCCAGGTGGGAGCCCGGCGGCCGCTCGGCCCGGCCCGGTTGCAGAAGGAACCCGCACAGCACCCACAGCGCCGCCGCCGCCCGCAGCTCCATGCCCGCTCAGCTCCCGATCCGCATCGAGGCCTCCACGCTCCGCGGGGCACCGCCGGGTCAGCGCCGGACCGGGACTCGAACCGCCGCTCTGCGCGCTGCCGGCCGGGGCGGGGCCACGTGACACCACGCCCCCGTCAACCAGACCACGCCCCCTCCGTATGACCACGCCCTCGTGTTAATCACGCCCGTTCTGTCTGGCCACGCCCTCTCCCGCACGACCACGCCCCCATTCAGACACTCTCCTCCTGACCACGCCCCCCGCTGGGCAGACCACGCCCCCACACACGACCACGCCATTTGGCCACGCCCCTCGGTCAGACCACGCCCCCCGCCGGCCCGGCGCCGCTCCCCGCCCCGCGTCCCCTCCCGGCCGCGCCCCTCCGCCCGCTCTCTATTCCCGCACCGCCCCCCCGCTCCCCGCACGCTGCCGTTCCGTCCCGCCGCCCCCCCCCCCCGGTGCCCCCTTTCCCTCCCGTCCCGCCGCGCACCCGCCCGCGCCGCCGTCGCACCTCGCTGACAGGGGGCGGGGCCGCCACCGCGCCTCTCGGCCAATCGGTGAGCGGGATGTTGGCCACGCCCCTCCGCTCGGCTCCGCCCTCCCTCTCACCTCCGCCGCGCCGCAGCGCCACCTGCTGGACGCGAGGAGGAAGTGCAGACTAGGATTGGGGCCGCCGGCGAGGCGCGAAAGCTAAGCAGGAACGGCTGCGTGCGGCGATTGGATGGGTGACCAGAATTGGACTTCGTGTGCGGAGACCGCAGCGAACGGCAAAGGGAGAACGGCGGCAAAAGCAGCGCCCATCCCCCACCCCGGGGCAATGGGGGCTGGGAGGGGCGGGGATGGGAGGGGGATGAGATGAGGATGGAGGTAGAATGGGAATGGGATGGGATATGGGTGGGGATAGGGATGGGGTGGGATGATGTGGGGTGGGGTGAGTGTGGGGATGGAGACAAAAGTTGGGATGGGAATGAAGATGGGCGCTATGATGGAGATGGGGTGGGATGAGGATGGGAATAGGATGGGGTTGGAGACACGAACTGGGCCTGGAAATGGGGATAGGGACAGGGGACAGGGTGAGATGCGAATGGGAACTGGGGTGGGGAATGGCAGTGGGGATAAGGATGGATGGGGATGGGATAGAGGTGGAGGTGGGATAGGATAGTATCACAGCATCACAGAATCACAGAATCACAGAATGGTTGGGGTTGGAAGGGACCTCATAGATCATCAAACTCCAACCCCCCACCACAGGCAGGGCCACCAACCTCCACATTTCACAGCAGCCCAGGCTGCCCAGGGCCCCATCCAATCTGGCCTTGAACACCTCCAGGGACGGACGGGGCATCCACAGCCTCTCTGGGCAGCTGTTCCAGCACCTCACCACTCTCTGAGTAAAGAAATGGTAATGGAGAATGGTAATGGAGATAGGATGGGGAAGGGGATGGGATGGGATGGGATGGGATGGGATGGGATGGGATGGGATGGGATGAGATGAGGATGGAGAAAGGACTGGGATGAAATAAGATGAGGATTGAGATGGGATGGGAATGGGGACGAGAGTTTGGGTTTGAGTATGGGGGTGAGATGGTCCTGGAAATGGAGATGGGAACAGAGATGAAGATAGGATGGGAGAGGAACTGGGATGGTGATTGGGAAGGGGAAAAGGACGGGAATTGGGGTGGGGATGAGGGGGGGACAGAGACCGGAATGGGCACAGGAACGGGGAGCAGCCCCCATAGGGCAGCACTGTGGGGCAGGAGGACGCCCATCCCTCCTATGGGTGTCTGAGTGGGGGCTCAGTGGGGTTTGGGGGGCGACGCCTCGAGGGGACGATTGTAGCCCCAACAGAGGAAATTCCCCCCCGCGTTCCCACGCTCCCCCTCCCCTCCCCAAACCCTCCACTTCCCCACGCCCCCCCCCCGCCCTATGACACCCCCCCACTCCGGGCCGAGGCAGGAAGGAAGCGGCGGGGGCGGGCCGGGCTCGGCGGGAGGAACGGTCGGGGTCGGGAGGGACCGAACGGCTCGGAGCGGCGCGGAGCGGAGCGGAGGACCCCCCCACTGTGCACCCCACCATGGGCCGGGGTGAGCGCGGGGGGCGCGGGGTGGGCTGTGAGGGCGGGGTCTGATGGGGGGAGCGGGCAGCAGAGCCAGGAGAAGGGCGTCCATCTGTCCCACGGCAGAAGCCATCCGCGGTGCTCCCCGTGTGGCGCCGGGATGTTGGGGAATGGGGGGTCCGCACTCAGTTGTACCCATAGCTCAGATTGGGGGAGTTGAGGCTGAGGGCGTTGCTGCTGTCCTGGAGCCCCATCTTGCTCTGCTGGAGGTCTTCCATCCTCGTCCTCTCACATAGGGAGGGTTGGTGCACTATGTGGGCTATGTGAGGTCCTACTGCCTGCTGGAAGACCCCCGTGTGTCCTGAAGGGCTGCCTCCATCTCCACCCCCATCCGTCCACCTCCATCATTCCTCATCATCCCATCCCCATCTCCACACTCATCCCCATTTCCACCATCTCCACCTCCATCATCTCCACTCCCATCCCCATCTCCATACCTCTATCTCCACCTCCATCTCCACCATCCCCATCTCATCCCATTCCCATCCCATCCCGACCCCATACCTCCATCCCCATCTCCACACTTCCACCACCACCTCCTCCTCCCCTACCTCCACCTGGACCTCCATCTCCATTCCCAGACCCCATTGCCTCCATTCCCATCTCCATCCCTGTGATCTGAGAGGGGCAGATCACGGCCCACCACTGTTCCCTACCCTGCATCTCCAAAGTGCCCCCGGTGCATGGTTGGGGCTGAGTGTGCCAATGTGGGGTTGAGTGTGCCAATGGGGCTGAGTGTGCCAATGTGGGGCTGAGTGTGCCAGTGGGGTTGTTAGTGCAAATGCCCCGGAGCTGCCGAGGTGATGCACGGGGTCCGGTCGGACCCGCAGCCCCACGGCAGGAAAACCCAAATCGCCCGGCTCAGCGCGGCCGGTGGGTGCGCAGCGAGGTGTTCCCCCGGCCCGGGGACGGCGGGGACGGAGCCCCGCCCGGTGCGCACCGCCTACGGGACCCCCGCAGCGCGTCTCATCGGTGCCACCCGAGGTCGTGCGTTGGGTCCCCGCGTCCGGTTTGGTGTCCCCAGCTCTGAGCTGGAAGGGACCGCAGGAAAAGTGGGGCAGCGGCGGCAGCTGCGTGGCGCGCAGGGCGCGGTGCGGGGCGCACAGGGTTGGATGCGCTCGGTGGGGTGCGCGGTGCCGCAGTAACGCTCGCCGTGCCGATGCCAGCAGAGCAGCCCGCGGCCCCACGGAAAGCCCCAGGTTGGGGGGGGGGATGCCCCGGGTGAGCGGCCGGGGGAGGTTTTGCTTCCCCTTTCTTCTGCTCGGCCCCACAGCTGCGCCGTCTCCCCCGCCCCGGTGATGCGGTGGGGTATGAATCACCCCGCGCCCCGCGCCCGCACCCACTGCAGCGCGGCGGGACCGCGGCTCTTCCTCTTCCTCTTCCTCCTCCGCTTCCCCTCCTCTTGCGGGGCCGGGGAGGGGCGGTCCCGTGGGGCTGAGGCCGGGCTGCGGGGCAGAGCTTTGCCTTGGGGTCCCGTACGGAGGTTCTTTCCGAAGCCCCCACCCCATCGCCTCCGCTGAGGACGGCCGGGGCCGGAGAGGGCCGGGGGCCGGGGGGCTATGGGACGGCCGGGGGGGGCGGAGGGGCGCCTCCGTCCCTGCCCTGCTTTACCCCGGGATGCTCCGTGGGGCTCCTCGTGGCCCTGATCCCAGCGGGGGCAGAAGGGGTTAATGAGCGGAGGGGGCTGGGAGGGCAGCGGGGGCGGCCGGAACCCTCCTGGGAGAACAGAGCCGCACTGTGTGCGGATGGGGACGCGGGGACAAGGGGATGGGGACGGGAACGAGGACGGAGATGGGACACAGACAGGACGGGGATGGCGCTGGATGTGCCATGCGTGCAGCAGCACGTGGAGCCCATGCGGTGTCCCGGAGCTGTTTGCCCGGGAACCATTGGCAGGGTGGGCACCGATGTGCAGCCCCTCTGATGTGGGATCCCTCGTGGCTCCATCTGTCCCCGCAGTGACACAGCAGTGCCATCACCTTTGTCTGGATTGAGACCCCTTTGGTCAGCCCCTCGTGCTGTGTCTGCAGCCAATGCCACCCATAGTGTCCCTGTACCCCTCCAAGGTGCAGCCATGGGGAGGACAAACCCAACGGGCCCCCATGCTGTGCTCTCTCTGTGCCTGTGCCCACCCCGGGGGTCTCACATGGGGATCCTCCCAGTGGGTGCTTCCTCTGTGCCACCTCTCCCTGTGGCAATGATGCGCTCATGGCCACGAGCGTTTCCACTTCACTTCCCCACAGCCCTGACTCAGCCACTGCCTTTCCTGGGACGGGGACGGGGATGGGAATGGCACATTTCCATGATGACCACGAGACACAGCAGGGCTCTGGCAGAGCTCTGTGGTCACCCCGCTGCCCTGAGCTGCCCCTCCAGCCCCACACAGTGCTGCTCCCCACCCCACTGCTGCTCTCCAGTCCCATCCCAGCCTCGTGCTCCTCTTCCCATGGCACCCTCAGCCCTACACAGGCTCAGCACCGTGGGGCACGGTGGGTTGGGGCACAGCACCACCCCCATGGGCAGGAAGCCCAGGAAGAGGAAGAGTGACTTCCCCATGTAAGAGGGCCCCATACACTCCAAGGTCCCTCTGGGGACCCCCACCCACCCCACAGCTGCACTATGACTGGCCCACCTGACCCCATCAGCCCCATCAGTCCATCAGCAGAGCGGCACAGAGCAGTGCTATGGCACGGTGCAGCACAGCGTGGGGCACCACAGCTCTGTCCTGTGGCAGCCCCAGTCCCTGTGCATGTGTCACTTATGCTGCATAGGATCATGGAACCATGCAGGCTGGAAAAGCCCTCTGAGATCCAACTCATGGAAAGGGGAGATAACAGCAAGACAAGGGGAAATGGTTGGAAGTTGAAGGAGGGCAGATTGCGGTTGGATGTCAGGGGGAAGTTCTTTACTATGAGAGTGGTGAGGTGCTGGAACAGCTGCCCAGAGAGGCTGTGGATGCCCCGTCCATCCCTGAGGTGTTCAAGGCCAGGTTGGATGGGGCCCTGGGCAGCCTGGGCTGCTCTGAAATGTGGAGGTTGGTGGCCCTGCCTGCAGCAGGGGGTTGGGGCTTCATGATCCTTCAGGTCCCTTCCAACCCAAGCCATTCTATGATCCCCACCATGACTACCCACATCCCCACAGCTCTGAGTCCGGTGCCCCCCCCATGACCTCCAGCACAACTCCAAGCTCCCAGGTTGCCCAAGGAGGCTGTGGATGCCCCATCCCTGCAGGCATCCAAGGCCAGGCTGGATGTGGCTCTGGGCAGCCTGGGCTGCTGGTTGGTGACCTGCACGCAGCAGGGGGTTGGAACTGGGTGAGCATTGTGCTTCTTTGCAACCCAGGCCATGCTCTGGTTCTCTGATTCTACGATCCCACACCACTCCCCACCCGATCACCGGGGGCTGCAGGCGGTGGCACTTTGCCCCCCACGCCCTCCCCTGACCTCATCCCCCCCATAGGCCACTGAAGCTGACAGCGCAGCGATGCAGAGCATCAAATGCGTGGTGGTGGGCGACGGCGCGGTGGGGAAGACGTGCCTGCTCATCTGCTACACCACCAACGCCTTCCCCAAGGAATACATCCCCACCGTCTTCGACAACTACAGCGCTCAGAACACGGTGGACGGGCGGACTATAAACCTCAACCTGTGGGACACGGCCGGGCAGGAGGAATACGACCGCCTGCGGACGCTCTCCTACCCCCAGACCAACGTCTTCATCATCTGCTTCTCCATCGCCAGCCCTCCCTCCTACGAGAACGTCAAGCACAAGTGGTACCCCGAGGTGTGCCACCACTGCCCCAGCGTGCCCGTGTTGCTGGTGGGCACCAAGAAGGACCTGCGCACAAACCCCGACACCATGCGCCGGCTCAAGGAGCAGAACCAGGCGCCCATCAGCACCCAGCAGGGTCTCAGTTTGTGCAGGCAGATCCGTGCTGTCAAATATTTGGAGTGCTCTGCGCTGCAACAGGAGGGTATTAAGGAGGTGTTCACCGAGGCGGTGCGCGCCGTGCTCAACCCCGCGCCGGCCAAAGCCAAGCGGCCCTGCGTGCTGCTGTAGGGCGGCGTGGGGCTGCCCTGCCCATGGACACCACCAGGTCAATGTGGGGCTGCAGCTGCACCCCGCTGCTCTGCTCTGGGATGAGCCTGCAGGCTGTGCTCAGCCTCACACCGCCCTGCCCAGCCCCACGCACCCCCAGACCCACACACACCTCTGGCTCCGAGCGGCCCCAGCCCCAACACACCTGGTTCTGAGAATCCCCGGCTCTGAGCACCCCCAGCTTTGAGCATCCTCTGCTGAGCACCCCCAGCTCTGAGCATCCCCGTCCAAACATCCCTGGTGCTGAGCACCCCCAGCTCTGAGCATCTCTGGCACTGAGCACCCCAGCTCCAAACATCACCGCGCAGCAGCTCTGAGTATCCCCAATGCTGAGCACCTCCGACTCCGCACATCCCCAGCTCTGAGCACCCCTGGCTCTGTCAATCTCCAGCTCTGAACACACCTGGCTCTGAGCACTGCTGGCACTGAGCATCTCTGGCTTTGAGCATCCCCAGCTCTGAGCACCCCTGAGCTCTCTGCCTCCCATGGAGTGCAGCATGGCCAAACTCGGCCAGCCCCAAGCTGTGAGCTTCAGTGCTACAGAGCCCAACTGCACTACCTGCCTGCTGGCCTGGGGCCAGCTGGGCTCCCTCCTGTTCCCTTCATCCCCATCCCATCCTATTCCATCCCATTCCATCCCCATCCCTATCCCTATGCCCATACCTATGCCGATCCATATCCCCATCCTCCCCCATCCTCCCCCATTTGTATCCCACCCCCACCCCACCCCACCCCACCCCATCCTCATCCCATCCCATTCCATCCCCACCCCCACCCCACCCCACCCCACCCCATCCCATCCCATCCCATCCCATCCTCATCCCATCCCATCCCCATCCCATTCCATCCCCACCCCCATCCTTGGCTGTCAGTGTTCACTTTTTGGGTGACACCTCTCCAGCTCTGGCACAGAGCAACACTTCCTGAGACAAGGCTGCCCCATGGGGCCGAACCCCCCAGCTCCTGCCTGAGCTCCCCCAGACCCTTGGGGACCCACCACCACCCCACCCTCTGCTGTCACCCTTCGAAGTGCTGCAGAGTGGTTTGTCCCATAGGACCCCCGTGGCACCAGGCTCCCCCCTCCCAGCTCCCCCTGAGCTGCTTTCAATAAAGAACCCCCCCCCCGGCCCTGTGCCTCCTGTGCTCTGCTGTCTGCCCCCATCCCCAGAGCTGCTGCTGGGACACGAGTGCCATCTCTGTGCCCTGGGGTTCCTGGGATGGGGGGCTGGGAACCCACCTGGCACTGCACCCCTAGTGACGCTGGAGCAGCAACAACTGCTCTGTGGGGACGGGGGGAGAGGAGGGGGAGTGGGGGGCACTGCAGGGATGGGGCAGTGGAGGAGATGAGCACAGGGATATGGCAGAGCATGGGGATAATGGAGGGACACCGTGGGGATGGGGACACTGCAGAGATGACTGCTGGGGTCTGCAGGAGGAGGGTCTCCTCCCCGCAATTCCCTTTCACCACAGCTCGTGCTCTGCCCCTCCTGGCCGCCCCATGGATGCCCCCATTGCAGCCCCATCACAGCCCCAGGACGTGGGGGTACGGGGGATCCGGGCGCTGCAGCCCCCCACGGGTCGGGGTCAGCCGTGCACAGGAGCCCCTTGTGCGGCCCCACAGCCGGACGCAGCCCCACACAAACGGCTTTTGTTCCCCGCAGCCGTCCGCGGGGGGGGCCCAGGGGGTGCTGTGGGCGGTGGTGCCACGAGGCAGCGCTGCCCCGTCCCCATCCCGTCCCCATCCCGTGGCCGTGCCAAGGGCGCACGGCCGTGACGCAGCGCTCCGGCACCCGGCGGGGAAGGGTGGAGGGCGGGGGGAGGGGGGGTTGGACAAGGCGAGGACGGAGCCCTGCCCTGGGATGAGCTCACGGCTTCCTCTTCCCCGCGGTATGAGGTCAGGGGGTGTGGGCAGCACCGGGGGAGCCCTGGTGTCCCATGGCCACCCCAACGGCATCTGCAGCTGCGTTGGCTCCCGGGGGCCCCGTGGGGAGCGCAGCCATCAGCTCCCATCCACCCCAAAGCCCGGATCCACCTCCTGCACCCAGTCCTGACCCCACACTGCCTCGGGGTCCTGCAGGGAATGGGTTCTGTCCATCCATGGTCACCGTGTGCCCCCACTCACCCCGCTGCCCTGCTTCAGCTATCCAGCACTGCACCCCAAATGGTGGGGGCACCAACAGCTCCGGGTGCTGCAGCCCGGGGGGGAGCAGAAATCCCACACTGGGGGGGGAGAAGAAGGGCAGCGAAGGGCACAGAGACTGCAGAGAGCTCCCAAAAATCCTCAGTGCTTTATTTCATCCTCCAAAGCCAGGAGAAGGCGCTGCAGGGAGGGGCTCTGTACCCCAAGAGGGTGGGAGATGGGGGTACACACGGATGGGGACATGGGACCCCCAGCCCAGCACTGCACCCGGCCCTGCAGCAAAGTGCCCACAGTCCCAGAGCTGTGGGGCAGAGAAACTCAGGCTGGCCACCTTTGGGCCACAAATTCTTTTTGGGGATTTGGATGAAGGGTCCCCAATAAAGCCCATCAGCCTGGGGGTGAAAGCAGCACGCAGGGAACGGGCCCAACACCGCAAGCAGCAACTGCTCTGCCCAACTCACTGCAAAGAGGCAGTGACTGTCAGCCCTCGTGTCCCACACTGGGACGGTGCCACGGCTGTGAGGTCCCACCTGCAGAGCTCAGCCCAGGGCATGGGGGCACAGAGCAGCACAGAGAGCTCTGATGAGTGCTGGAGTGCAGCCAGGAGAAGGAGCGGACCCCATTCCTGTTCCCAGCATGGGGACAACTGCAGCCCCCAGCCCACGCCATGGGGCAGCACCCATGGGAGCACTCAGCCCTGTGGCAACCAGTTAGAAGTGCTTGTCCTCCAGCATTGAGCTCACCACCAGCTCCTTGTTGCTGAAGTCCCAGAAGGCTGTCATGTGGAAGGCCATGTTGGAGAAGACCACCACGTACTCCAGGAAAGCAAAGATGGTGTACACTGTTGGGAGGAAGCACAGTGGGTCAGAAGGCAGTGCTGGGGTCCCATTGCTGCCCCACACCCAGCTGTGCCCATACCTCCAGGTCTGCAGTACCAGTTGTGGTGGAAAAAGACACAGACGGCAATGGAGAAGGTGATGAAGGTGATGAAGAAGAGCAGCTGTTTCCACTTGTAGGATTTGCGCTCCTGGGAGAGAATAATGAGGGCACGGCTCAGCACTCAGCCCATCCCAATGTGAGCTGTGCCCTCCAACCCCAACCCCACAGGGATGGGGCCCAGAGCCCCCAACCAGGGTGGGTGTAGGGAACCCACAGCACAGGAGCACAGCAGGGATGGGGGGATGGCACCCACAAACCCAACCCGGCTGTGATTCCTGGGTCTGAGTGGGAGGGGAATTTCCCCCTCTGTCTGTCGGTTCACGTGAGGCAAACCTCTCCATTTTCAGGGACTGCTGAGAATTAGGAAAATGTAAATGGCCCCATCACACTTTCCATGACCCCACAGGCACACTCACACACAGGCTGTGGTGCAGAGGAAAACCCAGAGAGGAAGGGCGGCCCCACGGTTTCATGGGGCACCTGGGGCTGGGGGAGCTCAGCCCCACACACCTACACCCCATGGGCTGCCAGCACTGCTCCTGCCTCACTGCTCCCCTGCAGCACCACAGCCCCACTCTGCTGCCACAATGCAATGCATCACATCATGCAGCACAGTGCTGCACTGCACCACGTGGCACCATACAGCACTGTGCTGCACTGCAGTGCACCACAACCCATGGCACTGTGCTGCACTGCATCATTCTGCATGGCACCATGTGGCCCTACACTGCACCACGCAGTTCATCACCACTGCACTGCATGGCAGCACACAGCACTGCACCGTGCAGCACCACACCACTTTGCTGCACTGCACAGCTCCCAGCTGCACTGCATCATAGCACTGCACGGCGTTGGCTCACCCCTTCCAACTGTGCGGCCTTGCAGGAGGCTGCTGCTTGCAGTGCTCAAGGCACAGCCCGATGGGGTTGCAGTGCAGGGGGCTGCAGTGCAGGGGGCTGCAGCACCTTGTGAGTCATTTGCATTTACCACCCATCCTCAGGGTGGGCTCAGCCCAAAGGTTCACCCAGGTTTTGCTGCAGGGAACGCAGCCCCGAGGCTGCAGTGGGGCTCCAGGCCCCGTCCCTCCGCTCTCACACCACCCCACAGTGCTGTGTTTGAATGTGGGTCCGACCCAGCCGACCGCAGCACGTTATATTTGGCCATGCAGCGTGTTGGCTTTGTGCTGCAGCACGTTTCCCCGTGCACATGGAGCTGAGTCAGTAGCAGAAGCTTTGGGGTGGGGGGGAGGGAAGCGGAGCTGCAGCTGCACGGCGCCGTGTGGGGCTGTGCCAAACCCCAACCCTCCCCCGCGGTGCTGCGGGACCCCCATGTGGGCTCCAGGTCCCCACAGGGCTGCAGTGGGGCCACACCACAGCTCAGCCAAGTGGCGTTAGCACGGCAGCCCCGCCGCTCTGCCTTGGGCTTTTTGGAGCTACGTGTTGCTCACCTCGCTCTGCTGCGGTGAATGCTGCAGTATCTGCAGAGCAATGGGGGCGGGGGACCCCCAGCACACACTGCTGGTGCACCCACCCCAGAGCCAGGCTCGGTGCTCGTGTGCTTGCACTGCTGGTACCTGTGCAAAATGAGCTGAGCTCAGCTACACCACCCTGACAGCGAAGGGCTCGAGCCTTCAGGAAGGAGCAGGAGCAGCAGCCCCACAGCTATGGGGTGAGCAGTGCAGCCCGGCCGTGCCCCAGCCTGCAGTGACAGCAGCTGCACAGAGATGTTTCCAAATGAGAAGTGAAACCACCAGCCCTGCTGTGCCCGTGCTGCTGCCGGCCCTGCAGTGGGCTGGGAGGGCTGTGCAGGGCTGTGCCCCCATGCCATGCCCCACACACAGTGCTCAGCACACAGCCGCGGCTCTCCAACTCCATTCCCTCTGCCCTCTCACCAGTTTTCCCCTCCCCTCCTGCCCCAAACCCGCTTTCCCTTCCCCCTACATCCACAGGGCTTTGTTTTCCTTTCTCTCCCCATTTGCCACCTTGCAAGTGGAAATCATCTGCACTTCCCCATTGCAAGTTCCCCAGCACCTTCCTGCCCTCGCAGCAGGGCTGTTGCAACACCGGCCCCGGTGAATGTCAGGCTTTTGCAAGAGCAATTCCTGTCACACATGTGCTCTGCTGAAAGCACAGCCTGGGAGTGGATGTTCTCCCACAGCAGTGCCTTCCTGCAGGACCGCAGCTCGGCCACGCAGCAGCAAAGAGGCAGCCCAGAGGCAGACAGCACAGGTGATCAGATTGCCATCATTGTCACAGGACTGTGGGATGCCCCGAGCTGGCACAGACCCGTGGGGGGTCACTGAGCCCAACCCCGGCCCCACACAGCACCCCCAGAGCCTGGCCCTATGGCAGAGTGCTGTCCTGCACCCCCTGAGCTCAGGGCTGTGCGCACTGCCCCAACCCCAGCTGACCCTCCTGGTCCCACGCTGCTCCCTCGGGTCCAACCCAATGCACGACGGCTGTGCTGTGCCTTTTGTCCTGAAGTATGCTGTGAGAAATAGCACTGAAAGCTCTGCTGAAACCCAAAAAGACAGCATCAGCTGGTTTCCCCGCCAACCAGCTGCGTGACCTTGTTGTAAGTTCCCAAAACGGGACCTTCCCCTCATAGGCTCACACCCATGAGGGCTGGAAAAGCCCTCCAAGATCCCTGAGCCCACCCCGCTGCCCACAGCCCTCGGTGCCACGGCTCTGAGCACCCCCAGGGACGGTGACCCCCAGCAACCCGTGCTGGTGCTGCTGAAAGGACTGACACCACAACCCCGTGCTGCCAGTGACCACCTCATCCTTCAGGTGCTTCCCAAGAACTCCCAGCCCATGTGGAGAACTGGAAGGAGTGAAGTTTCCCACCCATCGCAGGAGCTCTCGTGATGATGCACAACGGCCACGCAGCACAATGGTTGTTCTCAGCCTCAGCTTCCCACACCGGAGACCTTCCCCGAAAATAACCCCGCGAGATGCTCAGCAGCTCTGTGCAACTTCCCCTGCTCAGCAGTGGGTTGGGGAGGACGCAGCACGCAGCACACAGCAGCAGTGGGAAATCCCCCTGCAGTGCTGCCTGGTGCGGAGCTGAGCGCTGCGTGGGAGCGTATGTGGGGCAATCACAGCACACCCATCCAATCTCTGCCGCAGGGACCCGCTGGGTGCTCTGCCATGGCTCCATCTGCTGCCACTGCACGGGGACACCCAGCTCTGGGGTGGAAGATATGCCTTGTTATCAGCTCCAGGGCTGCACCAGGTCTGATATCAGGGGAAAATTCTTCTCCAAAGAGTGTTAATGCACAGGCACAGGCTGCCCAAGGAATGGGGGGAGCCACTGTCCCTGGAGGTGTTGAGGAACCATGGGGATGTGGCACTGAGGGATGTGGCACTGAGGGATGCAGTGGCATGGGACTGGGGGTCTCAGAGGGCTCCTCCAGCCTTCGTGCTTCCAGTCCTGTTGGATCCAGGCAAAAACACGGGGCCAGCAGGACCAGCACAGAGCAGATGAGCTCCTTCCCACTGCGGGGTTCCTCTGTACCTTTATCCACACTTGGATACATCTGGGTCCACTCCCCCAGGGCCACCAGCATGGCAGCACGCCCAGACAGCATCCCCGCATTTCCAGAGCCATCCCACCCAGTTTAATCCCAAGGATGATGGATGGGATGACGGAAGGAGCCCCAGTTGGTGCTGGGCACTGCAAGGATGGGTGGCAAAACCACAAAGAGCCTGAAGAGCTTCAACAAAGGAAGCCCTGGGCTGATTCTGCACATCCACAGTGCCTCCACTGCCCAACTGTGGCCTAAGTGAGTGTGGGGCAGCCACCTGCTCAGCAAGCTGCACATCCCTGCCCACAGGGTATAGCTTTCTGTGAGCCAGGGCAGCATCAGCACGGCCCAAAGCCCCACACAACCTGCTGACACTCAGCAGGTCCCAGCGACCCAGCACCAGCCATCCTGCTGGGGGGGGGAGCAGAGCTGAGCCCCTGTCCCAGGATGGGACATCCAAAGGGCTCTCCTGCAGTGCAGCTGCAGCCACAGCAGCTGGAGCTGCTCCTCCAGGTGACCCAGCAGGGCCAGCAGCTGGAGAATTGCTGGACTGGGAAGATAAACAGAGGCCATGAGGCAGGAGCTGCAGTGAAACACTGTGACTGTCTGCTCCCATCCTGCCTCACATGGCCCCATGCACAGCTCCCATCCTGCTCCATACGGACCCGTGCACAGCAGTCATCCTATACCACATGGATGCAGCCCCATGCACAGCTCCCATCCTGCTCTGTACAAATCCAGCCCCAGGCTCAGCACCCATCCTGCTCCATACAGCCCACACAGCCCCATGTACAGCACCCATGCTGCTCCACATGGACCCAGTCCCACGCACAACACCTGTCCTGCTCTGCACAGACCCGGCCCCAGGCTCAGCACCCATCCTGCTCCGTATGACCCCAGCTCCCCTATGCAAGCCCCAGGCAAACCCACATGTGCAAAAGGCACCACAGATGTTCAGAGCTCCTGCATACACAGTTTCAAAGCTGTCTTTGAACACACTGCCCTGTGCTGTTGCTTGTGGCTTATCCCATCCCAAACCCAACACGGCACCATTCATAGCTGGGTGCAGGTGATATAGCCCAGACCCTGTAGAACCTCATCAGGTTCACTTGGGTCCACCTTTCCAACCTGTCGAGGTCCCTCTGAATGGCATCCCTTACTGCCTGATGTGCAGTGTGACCAGCAGCTCCCCAAGACTTCAGCCTCTTGCAGAGAAGCCCCAGAGCCTGCATGTGAGACCCACAGCCGCTTGCAGCTGCTCCCTGCTTGCAGTACTGATCCCCAGCACAGAGCCCAGCTCAGCTCCCAGAGGGTTCCCCCAAGCAAGGGGAAAATGGCAGCAATGCAGACCCCAGGAGATGGCATTTTGAGGATCAGCTCCATGTGAAAACTACAGAACAGGAAATCAAAACATTTCTCCACGGTTTGTTTTGTTAAATTGGACTGAAGTGTGAATTTTGGTGACCATAAGCCAGATTCACCGGTATCTTTAATACCTTCACCACCCAGATCTGGTCATTTTAGAAGCAAGCAACAGACGAAGCCCTTCCACCACCAGCCCCAACCACAGCACCAAGAGAAGAAAGGAAAGTGTCTGTACCTCGGGACTTACTGTGTGTTTCTTAGTCATCCTCCAGAGGATGCACGTCAGGAGCATGTGGCCCAGAGCTGATGTGATAAAGACGATGAAGGCATTTTCATGGATTGCTGAATCAACAAGACAAGAGGCTTCCTGTTAAATCTAGGCATGGAAATGAGACAGAAGTACCAGAGGAGGCTCTGGGGGCAAAGGACGGTGGGCACAGCCCTGCTGGCAGCCTCAGCAGCATGGCAGCCATGCAGAGCTAATGACAGCTGTCTGCCCATGCCTTGTGTCTTCCCCTAAGGCTGGGGCTGCAGATTTCTGAGTCTGCATATTGTGTTTGGAAGCACAGCACAGAGGGCTTGCAGTTGCTCTCTGGCACCTGGTCTGGGAGTTCCAGTGGCTGCAAACCACAGTGAGATTTGGGAGCAGTTCCTGGGATGGATGAGGAAACTAAGGCTGCACAGTGAGCCTGCCCAGCACGTCCTGCTGGTCTCCTGCATTTCAGCTGCCAGCAGCCTTCTCACCAGCACCAAGGCTGTCCTGCACACTGCTGAACCCACACTGACTGCAGGGTAGGCTGGAACCATCACTGGTTGAGTGGTGTGGAACTGAGGCAGCTCACAATACCCAGAGCCACATGCAAAGCCCGCGAAATTTCAGGCCAAATGTTTTTCTTTTGAATAGAAGCACTTATTCACAAAGCATTCCCCAAACTTTTCTCCAGGAACGGAACCCACAGGCTGAATTTGCAACCACGACACCTGACCGTAAGAACCACACTTCCCTCCTCTTCTTTCTCTTCCCTGTTTCAGGGGAAGGAGAACAATGTTCCCCAGCTCAGAGCAGAGCTGAAGGCAGCAGCTGGAGGTAAAAACGTGGCAGTGCCCTGCAGAGGTGATGAGCCTGAGCCCAGCTGCAGCTGCATGGGGTGTGGGTGGCTGAGGGCACCCATGGACATCCTGGATGCAGCCCACCCCACAGCCTCATTATGGCATCACTGCAGGGCCCAGGGAGCACAGCCCCACTCCCAAAGGCAGCCAGCAAGCTTGCAATCCATGCTGCTGCAGCCTTCAGTACAGGACCAGCTCCAGCCCCTCCTCATCCTTCCTGCAAGGACACAAACCAGCTTCTTCTTGTCAGCCCTGCTCCAAACCTGCTCTCCATGCAGCCCTGGTCTCTCTCTTTGCAGTACTCTATGACTGTAACCCTGCATCCCATGGCTGCACCCAGCATTCACCAAGTCCCAGGCAGCTCCGTGCCCTTTGCAGCAGCACCACCTGGTGACTGCCAGTCCTCTGTGCTGCCACCACCACCGGGTCCCACTGCTGGCAGTTACACTCAGCTCAGATGGGACCCATGGGTGAGAGGCACCTTTGAGCCCATTGCTCCACATGCTTTGATGTAATCTGAAAGATTCTCACTTACTCAATAGTCAATACAGGAAATTAACCCAGAAAATGCTGCTAGGAGGCAGTAAGTTGGAGCCGACTCAGTGCCAAGGCCACGAGGCAGAAGTGGGCGCTGTGCTGACTGCAGCAGCAGTGCTGAGTTTTGCCAAGTGGTGATGAGCAGCATTAAGCACATCCTCAGCACAGAAATGGGAACACAGCACTACAGCTGGATGGCAGGCTGGGCACAGAAATGCAGTCACCAGGAATTCATGTAAAGGCACATGAGGGATGAGGAGGTGATCTGAGAGCCAGCACAGCTTCACCAAGGGCAGGTCGTGCCCAATCCATCTGGTGGCCTTCTGCAATGGAGCGATGGCATTGGTGGGTAAAAGGAAGGGCAAAGGATGCCATCTAGCTGGATTTATGCAAGACCTTTGACGTGGGCCCATACCACATCCTTATCTCTAAATTGGAGAGATATGGGATCAAAGGGTGGGCTATTTGGTGGATAAGGAGTTGGCTGGAAGGTCGGAGCTGGAGGGCTGCGGTCAATGGGAATGGCTTCAAAATCGGAGATCCAGGCAAGATGTGAGGAGGAAATTCTTTACCTAGAGAGCAGTGAGGCTCTGACTCTGCTGCCCAGAGCTGTGGGTGCCCCAAACCTGGAGATCAGGATTGGATGGGGCCCTAAGCAGCCTGAGCTGGTTCTTGACTTAGTGGCTGTAAATCCTGTCCACAGCTGGGGGTTGAAACTGGATGATCTTTGAGGTCCGTTTCAACCCAAGTCACACTGTGATTCTATGAGTTTCAGTAAGAGCTAAGCTATAAGCACATTACAGATGTAACTTCCACACATCCCCATCCCTGCAGGCATCCAAGGCCAGGCTGGATGCGGCTCTGGTCAGCCTGGTCTGCTGGTTGGCGACCTGCACAGAGCAGGGGGTTGGAACTGGATGAGCATTGTGCTCCTTTGCAACCCAGGCCCTTCTATGAATCTATGATATAAATCCTAGCCTTTATAGAACAGCATCCACAAACAAGGTGGCCATGCAGGGGTCGATGCAGAGCTGGAGGGAGCCACGTACCATAGTTCTCTGAGGAGGACACATAGGTCAGAACGAGGAGGGCAAAGTTCTCGAGCAGGTTGAGCAGCAGGTTGAAGTGGCACAGGCGCAGGTAGCGAGGGTGGGAGCAGTGGCAGCTCTGGTAGTGGTTCCAGTAGGCAACAGCCACCAGGAAACGTGGAGCTGAGTGCAGACCAATGCAGAGCCGCCAGACGTAGCGCTGCGGGGTCTCTCCTCCGATGGCAGCGCTGATGGAAGGCAGGTAGTTTGGGACCTGGAAGAGATGGGAGAGTGGCTTGTTATGGCAAAAGCGCCACGTCGAAAGACAGGAAACGGACGCGGTGGGGCTGATCTGCAGGAAAGGAACTCTGCAGAGAAGGGTCTTGAGCCATGGGTTGAGCCGAGTGCCCTGTGGCCATGAAGGCCGATGGGATCTGGGATACATTGCAGAGAGGGCGGCCAGCAGGGTGAGCGAGGAGATCCTCCCCTCTGCTCTGCCCTGGGGAGGGCACAGCTGCAGCACTGCACCCAGTGCTGGGCTCCCCAGCTCCAGACAGACTGGGAACTGCTGGAAGAGCCCCATGGAGGATGCAGAGCTGGTGGGGGCCTGGAGAACCTCATGCTGGGGACAGGCTGAGAGTGCCAGGGCTGTGCACCTGGAGAAGGGAAGGCTGGATCTGAGCAGTGCTTATCAGCGTCTGAAGGGCAGGAGGATGGGGCTGGGCTCTGTTCCGTGGTGCCCAATGCCAGGACAACGAGCACCTGCATAGACTGCAGCCCAGGAAGTTCCATCTGTGCTGTGAGGGGGGCAGAGCTTCAGCACCACTGCCCTGAGAGGTGGGGATCTTCCTGGAGACGTCCAAACCCATCTGGGTGCTCTCCTGTTCAAAGACTGTACAGAACTGCTTCAGGGGTCGGGCTGGACTGAGGATCTCCAGAGATCTTCCAACCCGTGACTCTGTAACACAGCAGCAGTCCTGATGCATCCTGCAGGGCTATCCAGGCCCATCACCTCCACAGCCTATTGAGAAGGCTCAGTGATCCGAGAACCCTGCTCAGGTTTCTCAGCTCGACACCCACAACCCCCTCTCTTTGCCTTCATTCAGCTGTTGTGCCCCATGTCCCTTCTCAAGCATTGGGACAGGCTGCCCAGGGAAGCGGTGAGGTCACCATCCCTGGAGGTGTGCAAAAAATGTGTAAATGTGGCACTTAGGGACATGGTTTAGTGAGCACAGTGGGGATGGATTGGGGTCGGACACGGTGATCTCAGAGGTCTTTTCCAACCTTAATGATTCCATGATTCCATCCCTGGGTTCAGAGAGAGAAGAGAGCAGGGAAGCAAAACTACGTACCAACAGAAAACTGCCAGGAACTGCAGGCAAAGGTGATGTTCAGAAACACAAAAGCAGGAAAACCTTGGAGCTGACCTCCAAGTATTTGAGCTCAGGGATGTCCCCAGACAGTTGTGATTGCCATGCAAAAGGTAATCCATGCAGGACAACTATGCCATGGAATCACTGAACCATTTGGCTGCAAAAGACCTTCAAGATCACTGGTGTGGTAAACAAGCTGCGCAGGGAGGAAATTAGAAGGATCAAACTCTTGTTTAACTATCTAAAACTCCCAGATCCCCGTTTATTTCCCATACTGCATGAAATCCTTTAGAAACACTTCAGCTGAGACCCTAATGAAACAGTCTTCTTGGATAAAGGGGCTGCAATTCCTACGTGCTGTTCTTCAGGAGCTCTCCCGCCAGTGTCCGATCCCTTTCCTTTCTCCTGGCATCAATTGCTGATGCTGACATTGAATCAATAAGAAAGGCGTGGATGGAGGTTTCCCTTGCCCAGCAACCTCAACTGAAAGCCCTCTTTACTATACTTTACTATATATGATTGATGATGCTCTTCCCCTGCTCTGAGGGATGGACTCTCTCAGTCCTCAGCAGACCAGAGTTCAGTGATCTAAAGAGCCAAAAACAGCATCACGATCAAGTGCTGATCCAGTGGATTTGACTGGTTCCTTCAGAGATCCTTCCTTTGATTAAAGCCAAGACCACCTGGTGCCCCAGAGGCTCTTAGAGCTGCTCCAAAGGCTCTGTAGTCCTGGATATAGCTTGGTCTGCTCTTGACAGTGTTGATGGTGCCCATGTGGAGTAACAGCCTGGAGACTGAAGCTCCTCAAACCGACTGCTTTTGCCTGAGGAAACAGCTCCTTTTCACTTGCTTCACACACACTGCTTCATGATGTCCCCTGCTTCTCACATTGGCACAGGAGGCAGTGGGTCCCTGTCTGCCCTCCCACCCAGCCAGGACCTCAGAGGCCTCCACCTCTCTGCTCTCATCCTGGCATCTGTAGGCTGAAGCTGAGGACCCCTCACTTCACATCTTGAGCTGCAGGACACCTTAGAGCATCCTTGCTGCACTGCCCTACACACCTGTCCTGCGAGGAGAGAACAATGTCCCACAAGGAGGGGACAATGTGCACATGTCATTTCTCTTAATCAATCACCACTGGGATCCCACTGCTCTGTAGCCTGCCCTCAGGATTCCACATCATCCCTCCAGCTCCAGGACCTCGTCACCACCACCCACCTTCATCACCCACTGTGTCTGGGCAGGAGGAGCAGCAAGCTGAGGGACTCGACTTAATGCATTCCAGAAACCCAGCTGGTCCCTTGCAGTCAGAGCTCCCAGGCATGTACCTGCAGCTGCTCCAAAGAACTCCAACAGATGTGAGAGGCAGTGACTCCATTTCTGAGAGTAACTCCTTGTCAAGACAGTATACTTATCTTTAGCCTTATCAGTTTTATTCTTTATTGCAATCAACACCAATCTGCTCAGTGTTACTTTTCAAAAATTGAAAACTCAATTGCTCATTCAGAGGCAACACAAATAAAAACAAATTGTTCAAGGTGACACAGCACCTGTGGTAGGAAACAGAGGATCCCTGCACAGCCAGCACCCAGAGGAGCTCAGCACACTGCAGATGAATGTCACTTACCCCGCAGTGGGTGGCTGTCGTCTCCTTGAAGTGGAAGAGCAGAGACCAAATCACGCAGAAAAGGAAACCAAACAAGGGGCAAAACACAGTCCAAACAGCCAGAGTGGTGAAACGGAGCCGGAACAGGATACCATCACGATCCAGGGGCAATGGTACCTGGAGCATGCTGATGGACCTGAAAGCAAAAAGCACACGTTGGGAGGGATTCTCTGTCCTTCAGTCCCCAATAGTTCTCAGCATGGATGCATCAAGCTGTCAGCTGCAGAGAAACCTGGGCACAGCCGGTGTTTCACAGCAGCCTGAGAGCTGGACGAAGGCATCGGAGGCAGAAAGCAGCATCAGCTGTGTGGGATGTGCTCCTAGCTCTGCACCACGAGGCTGGGAGACATGCGACTGTATTTCTGCTGGGTAGAGCCATCCAGATCCTTCCTCGGCTGAGCTCAGAGCTGCTGTGCTGACACTGCAGCGTGCTGCCCCAGACAGGGTGCTGCGAGCACAGCACAACCAACACCACACCTCAAGGAAGCTGCACGACCACAGCCTTCAGCTTGCACGATAAAAACATTGCTCAACAACTCAGACAGGTCAGGTCAGGCCAGTTATCGAGCCTGGCAGCTTGCCCCTGGCTCAATGCCCCAGTATCAGCCAGGTGCACTCCAGCTCACAGGCACTGCTGTTTGTCCTACATGCCTCAGGCTGTGGTGGACAGAGTTGCAGTCCCCAGCTCTGCACTTACTTCAACCCCAAATCATCACTCTGCTGTGCGTGGCCCAAATCTCCCCCATCCACACCAGCTGCCCTCCACCTGGGAACAAGGGACAAAGGGCCATGATGCTGAGTGCTGGCTTCCTCCCTCACCTCAGGCTCTACGACAAATCCTCCTCGCAGACAATCCCCTTTGAAGCCAATTATCAGCAGGACCAAGGGCAACACAGGGTCACATCCTGCAACGTGACCTCAGACTGCAGCCCAAAGAGCTGCTGCTGAGGGGCATGGGGCAGGATCCTGTTCAGTGCCTGGTGCTGCTGCCATAGAGCAGCAAAGAGTGATGTCAAACCATGTGACCAACTCAGGGCTCACTGCTCTGCCTGGATTCATTTATTGTGGGATGGAAGCTTTAAGGATGTAACTGCAGCCACGGAGGTTAGGACAGAGTGGGGCCCCCTGCCCAGCCATCCCCACCGCTGATGCTCTGAATGAAGGACGGGGTGCCTAAATCACAGAATGGCCTGGGTTGCAAAGGAGCACAGTGCTCATCCAGTTCCAACCCCCTGCTGTGTGCAGGTCGCCAACCAGCAGACCAGGCTGACCAGAGCCGATTCCAGCCTGGCCTTGGATGCCTGCAGGGATGGGGCATCCACAGCCTCCTTGGGCAACCTGTTCCAGTGCCTCACCACCCTCTGGCTGAAAGACTTCCTCCTAAAACACACATGCCCAAAGCTCCATGCCCTGCACCTGTTGATCCCATGGAGTGTCCACAGCCCATCCCTCCTGCAGCCTGCCCAGCTGCTGCACATCTCTCTTCACCTCTGGGTGCTCTGTGCTGCTGCTCCAAACCTTTGCTCCTTCCCTGTCCCTGAGCAGGGCTGAACCCAGGGGAGGGAAGATTACAGAATCACAGCATGGTTTGGGTTGGGAGGGACCCCAAGGATCATGAAGCTCCAACCTGCCTGCTACATGTAGGACCACCAACCTCCACATTTCACAGCAGCCCAGGCTGCCCAGGGCCCCATCCAACCTGGCCTTGAACACCTCCAGGGATGGACGGGGCATCCACAGCCTCTCTGGGCAGCTGTTCCAGCACCTCACCACTCTCACAGGAAAGAACTTAAGCTCCCTTCAAGTACTGAAGGCCGCAATGAGGTCTCCCCGCAGCCTTCTGTTCTCCAAGCTGAACGAGCCCAGTTCCTCAACCTTTCCGCACAGGAGAGCTGCTCCAGCCCTCCGAGCACCTTGAGGGCCCCGCTCTGGACGCAGCTAGCCGTGCCAGCACTGAGCTGTGGAGCGGCCAGGTTGGGACCCGGCGGCCGGGCAGCGCAGCGAGCCCGCAGGCACGGCGCAGCGCTGCCCTCAGGGCGGCCGCTCACACCCCGTTCCCTGCCGGCCGGGCTCACAGCAGACCGAGAGCCCGCAGCCCCCACCGCCGCACGGCCCGCCCTCACAGCGCCCGCACGGCCCGGACCCCGAGGGCCGCCCCCCCGCTGCGCTCCCCGCTCTCACCCCGCCGGCCCGCCGTTCCCCCGCCGCTCCTCCCCTTCCCGCCCCGCACACCTCACACCGCTCCCGGCTCCTCCATGCCCGCCCCTTCCTGCTCCGCCAGGCCCGCCGCCCGCACCTGCTCATCCCTCCTTCCCTTCGCCCCACCCCGTTCCCGTTCCCGCCCCCACGTCCTCCCCAGCCCTGCTCTGCCTCGGCCCCGCCGCGGCCCCACTCGGGGGCGCCCTTCACGGCGCGGCCGCACCAGGCCCAGGCCTGAACCCGGCCCTGAGAGGCCCGAAGCCTCCGCCCGGAGCGCCCCCTGCCGGCCCGGCGGACCGCTTGAGCGCGCCCCGCCCTCTGCGCGGCACACGCAGGAGGCCGAGAAGCTCTCTGATTGGGCGGGCCGGGAGAAGCCCCGCCCCCGGCGCGCCCGGATGCTGGGCGGTGAGGCGGGAGGGATGTTCTGGACTCTTCCGCAGCATCAGCCCCGCCTCCTCCCGGGCAAGACCAATCGGTGCTCGGCGCTTATCTCCCCTTTCGCCAATAGATAAGAGGAATCGGGGAGAGTGGGTGGGTCCACCTGCCGCAGCCAAGCAGCGGCAACCAATGAGCTGCGGGCTCATAGGGGCGGGGCCGGCGCCGGCGCGGGGGCCGCTGGGAGGCGCGCGGAGCGGGTTGTGACGCAGCTTCCTCTGTGTGAGGCGGCGGCGCGGGAGTGGCGAGGCTGGATCGGGCCGGGCCGGACCGGACCCGGCCGGACCGCGCTGCTCTCCTCTCTTCGACGGTGAGCTCCGCGTCCGCAGAGCGCTCGGGGGCTCCTCGGGTCGCGCTGCGGCCTTCTCGTTACGGCGCAGCCTTGGAAGCTGGGAGTCGGGCCGCCGCGGCCTTCGGGTGGTGGGGCTGGGAGCGGGGCTGAGCGGGGGATGTCGCGATGATCGGGATAGCGGCGTGAAACGGCGCTGCTGAGGTGACTGAGGGCTGCGGGAGCGTTGTGAGGGAGCTGCCCCGTGCTGGGGCTCAGCACCGCGGTTTGGCGTGCGGTGCGGCGCTGTGTGGAGGCTGCCGCTGTCGTTGTGTGATGGGGGGAACGCGGTGGGTCTGCGCTGTGGGCCTGGCTAATGCTGCCGGCGGCGGTGGCGTTCTTGGGGTGGAGTAGCTGGTGGTCCCAGGGCAGAAAAGGACTGCAGGTTTCTGAGGCTGTAATTCTTGTCGTGGTTTCGTTTCTGTGTGACCTATTCGTAGAATCGCGGAATGACCCGGGTTGGAAGAGACCTCAAGGATTATGAAGCTCCAACCCCCCACCACACGCAGGGCCACCAACCTCCACATTTAGTACCAACCCAGGCTGCCCAGGGCCCCATCCAGCCTGGCCTTGAGCACCTCCAGGGATGGACGGGGCGTCCACAGCCTCTCTGGGCAGCTGTTCCAGCACCTCACCACTCTCATAGCAAAGAAATTCCCCCTGATATCCAAC